TTCTAAAATTGAATTTCAAAAATAGAATCACACAAAAATTTTGGGGCTAAAATAACCTGAGTCCGTCCCTGTTACATACGCTTCCAAACAAAACTGTCTAAAATTGTTAATATTTTTAAATCCAGCATCAAAAACTAGGCTAGGACGCCAAATTTTATGTCTTTATCTCAACACGTTTCGGAAATATTAAGGAAAAACCATCTTCAGGGGAGCCCCTTTAAAAGACCGTAGCGCCCTTAGGGGACGTTTGTCGACCTATGTTTATATGAACTTTTCTTCCCATTTTAAGCTCTAGAAACTGCTGGTAGAATATTGCACACTTTTTCGGGACACCCTGTATATACAGGGTTATCCAAATTAAGTGTCCACCATTAGTAACTTTGTTATTAGTGAAAATACAAAGTTGTCTGAATTAGCAAACTAGTAGCATTTTTAACGCTGGTAAAAATGAGAAATAAAAAAAAACAATTGAGAGTTGTTATTTTGATTTTTTTCAGTAAAATAACATTTTTTAAATGGAAACCCCTGTATATTATATTTTTTTCTCTTAAAGCATCAAATTTTAAACAAAAAAGCTTACAATAACTTTTCTCCTAGGTTACAAATTGTTGAAGTTATGGCCTCCAATCTGAAACAATTAAATTGTATCGACAAACTTTATTTTCAACATCAACTTATAATCTTACAAAATACAATAACAATTTTTTTTAAAGAAGATGCTCGAAAACACCACCTTGTTCTTCAATACATTTTTGGGCACGTTTTTCAACTGCTCGAACTGTCTTAAGTATGGTCCTACCATCTATCTGGGTTATCTTTTCCCTAACTGCAGTCTTTAACGCGTCAAGGTTATCGTACCTTCGCTTGTAAATTTGGTTCTTTAAGTAACCCCACAAGAAGTAATCAAGTGGGTTTAGATCTGGTGATCTGGGAGGCCACTGTATTGGGCCATTTGTTCCTATCCACTGATCATTAAAAGTAGTACTTAGAAAATGATAAGTACCTCTGGAGTTGTGGGCAGGTGCGCCATCTTGCTGAAAATGCAGATGATGTCTACTTATAAGATCCAATTCGTCTAAGAAATTAGTCAGAATTTCTGACATAAATTCCACATATCTTTCACCAGTTAGGGTTCCCTCATAAAAGAACGGGCCAACAATTTTTGAACCAATTATACCGCACCAAACGTTGAAACTGAAACGGACTTGTGGGCCTCTTGGATGTACTAACAAAAGATTTTCTCTTGACCAATAATGGTGGTTTTTTCTATTAAACATTCCAGAATTTGAAAAATTTGATTCATCTGTCCATAAAAGGTAACGAAAGTTATTTACATTTTGGCGACAGAAGCTAAGATACCAATGGCAAAAAACAAGTCTTCTCTCTGGATCCCCTGCCAAAAGCGTTTGAACTGGTCGGTACTTATACGGAATAAATTTGTATTTTTTTAAAATCATTTGAACAATACCATAACTGAAATTAGAGTCCTTGAGAATATCTGCTATTGAATTCTTACGATAAGCTTCAAAATATCCAATAACTGCAATTTCCGTGGCCTCGCTTATTATGAATTCTTTTTTTGCCCTTGTTTTAGCAAAAACATTTTCGTTGCCCCTAAATTTTCGATAAAGTCTCAGAAAATATCGTTCATACGGTTGAATGCGAGCGGGATATAATTCACTGCTCTCAAGGAAGATTTTCTGCACACTAAATAGCATTCTAACATATCACACTTTTCTTCATGGGAGAACATTTTTCTTTAAATTAATGACACAATAAAGCTTATAAACAAGTATTTACACTAATGTTTGACATTATTTGATTTTATCATTGTTTTCCAAAGCCTTCTAGTTGCGAGTATGTCCAGTTTAACAATTTGTCGCTTATCTTAATGCTGTCAAATCGCGAACGCCATGTTGTTTTCATAGCCGTCTTAATATTATAATACTGCAAATAATTAAAAATATTTATCGTTATTTTGACTTTATTTTTGACTTTAGCGGAAAAGTCATTATGAACTTTTTTGTTTAAAATTTGATGCTTTAACAGGAAAAAATATAATATACAGGGGTTTCCATTTAAAAAAATGTTATTTTACTGAAAAAAATCAAAATAACGACTCTCAATTGTTTTTTTTTATTTCTCATTTTTACCAGCGTTAAAAATGCTACTAGTTTGCTAATTCAAACAACTTTGTATTTTCACTAATAACAAAGTTACTAATGGTGGACACTTAATTTGGATAACCCTGTATACGTATATATATATTGATTGTTTTAATATTTGCTGATGTACCTGATTTGGGACAATTTAACTAGACGTTCCTGCATTTCATAGTCTTCAATACTTCGACTACTTGACCTTTCCTTGATTTTTTGACTTACGTCGTATAGCATTTGAAATGCTTAAGTATTTTTGTAACAAGCATTTCTACATTCGCAATGTATCGCCGATAATTCTCAATTATGGCTGTTAATGCAGGATCTATGGCGTCTTCCAGTAATTCCAAATACATTTCACCAGTCAAATTTCCAGGTAAGAAAAAGGGACCAACTAAATGATCTCCAAAATTGCCAGCCCAAACATTTAATTTTTGTGGCTGCTGTGTATGAACCTCGTGATAAATTCTGGGATTAGAATCGGACCAATATCGGCAGTTATGACGATTTACTACGCCATTTAAGAAAAAGGAACATTGGTCGGAAAAGCAAGTGTAGAATAGAAAATGTTCATCGTTTATAATTCCTTCACTCATATCTTCACAAAATTGTAATCGCCGATCAAAATCGTTTTCATTAAGTTCTTGTACTACAGGTAGATGAATTTGTTACGGATGAAAACTATGGGCCTTTAGAATCCGTCGACTAACACCACATACAGTCTCCAATTTCCGGGTACTTAACGTAGGATCTACATAAACTTGCCCTAAAACCCCCACTTCTACTACTTCGTTCCTTATGGGATTTTCAATGTTGCTCCAATAGCTATTTTCAACAACAAAATGATAAACAAACCATGGGCGTAGTGAAGAAAAGCATTTACTTGTTAAGTAAATTATTTTATTCAAATTTATTCTGAAAGTAGTACAAACTAATCTGATGTACCTATTAAAGTCTACTTTAAGCTTTAAATCAATAAATCTTCAAAACTACTGAACTGAAGCTCATGTATTTTACATCATTATAAAGGGAATTGACCTTTAAAATGAGGTATCACTCGACCCCCCTTTCCATTTAAGATTTTAGGGTTGGTGTCACCCCCGCCCAGGGGGCTGCACGTGCTAACGTGATTTTTTGCCAAACTTGTGTCCCCCTCGAAAACAAAATCGACGGGTCTGAGCGTTTTTCCAAAAAAAAACTAAGCTGCCAGTAAATGCGTTTGTTTCGTTTTCGATGCGCCACCCTATGTTGGTTAGATAATGCTTCAGTGAACCATATGTGATCGGGAATTTGTCTTTTGTCTGTGAGAAGGAAAAACCTGTATCAAATATCAAGTGGCTTACCTAGTGAAAACTGATAAGCAGGTATCTGAATTCTCTCGAGTTGATTTTCACAAACACGTACAAGGCCAGTATCATAAAACTCATTTTTTAAAAATTTAACTGCCACTACCGAAAAACAGTGGACTGCGTACTAGAAAAAAGGTGTGCAGTCTACAGGAAAAAAATCCGACTAATTTCAATGATAATTAGATCTATTTAGATAAGATTGTATGGTGTATGCAAAGGCTTTGTTAACATCATTGTGATGCTAGTTTACAATGCGGATTAAAACGTTTTGTGTTGTTAATATCTGGAAGATATTAACATATGTATGGAGTGAAAAATATTCTGCTCATCAATGCTCTTTGACAGACATGGTGTATTTTTATATCTAAATCTAGATGATACAAGGATTTATGCGCTGAATAGTTATATAAAATGTACCAAATGTGACACGATTTTCAGACATATTATTTTAAAATTTATTTTTAGGTGGAGCTATCGCCTGATAAATAAAAAAAACATTCTTTCTTCAATTATACCACATATTTTATCTCAGTCGTTTTTGAGACATAAACAATTCAGAAAATAACATGTTTCTACCTTTTTGTCCTGTTAAGATCCACTGAAGGTGCGAATTATGAGATGTGCTACGTCCATCAGAATAATTATTATAGTGGTTATTTCGTTAAAAATAGCGTATCAACAAAATGTCATGAAAAGCTAGGATACAAAATAAAAAAGAAACTAAGGGTCAAACGTTCTTATAATAAATTGTAGGACGCCTTTATGGCCTCCTTGATTGTCGTAGTCTTTTTTCTCCTCCAGAAAGGCTGGGGAATTTTTAGTTTTTTACTGTTCCGTGTCAGGGTCAGCGCTCTCCTCTTGTGAGATTATGTTTTCTTTTTCAATTGTAGGAAATTTTAGGTTATATGACGTATGATATAAGTAAAAGCATGAAGAATTTGATGCAAATGGATATTTGTAAGATAACCTCAAAATATAGAGCAGACGCAACAGTGGAAAACTATGAAAATCAAGGAGTCCATTACAATTGTGAGAACGACTAACGATACGACACTTAGATCCACTAAGGGTGCGAATTATGAGAACGTGTTAACAAAATCTAGTGTGCCATGTCATGACATTCTAGCAGAGGAAGGAACTATCAGGTAACCAAATAAGTTCGTGCGGTTGCTGTATATCGCACTTTGCCATGGATGTTGTTGATCGATAGCGATTGTTTGTTACCTGTTGTCACTTTAGTATGAATGCTTCTTTTCTCACACACTTAAAAAGTTGCTGAAAATTGTTACATACCTAGTTTTAATAGTTGAAAATGGCGACGAATAAAACAGCAATTCGAAGTTGTTTACTGTATTAGTACAAACTTGGTACAAAAGCTGCAGCGGCGGCGCGAAGATATGTACCGCATTCGGAGATGATGCCGTTAGTGATCGAACAGCGCAGAAGTGGTTCAAAAATTTTTCTTCGGGTGATCTCAGTTTGAGCGATGAACCGCGCTCAGGGAGACCAAAAATCATGAACAACGAGGATCTTCGACAGATTGTCGACGCAAATTCCAGGACAGCGTGCCAAGAACTTGCAGAAATGTTCAGAGTGAGTCCTGAAACTATTCGTTTGCATCTTCATCAGCTAGGAAAGACGTGGAAGTTAAGCAAATGGGTCCCACATGAACTGACAAATGATAACAAATTAAGTCGTCTTACCATTTGCTCAGCAAACATTTCACGCACCGCTAATGAACCATTTCTTAATCGGTTATTGACCTGCGACGAAAAATGGATCTTGTATTCGAATTTTAAGCGTTCGTATCATTGGTTGTCGCCCACTGATTCGGTACCACACACGCCCAAGGCTTCCTTGCACCCAACCAAGGTTTTGTCTTGTGTTTAGTGGACAGCAACTGGAATTGTCCATTATGAGTTTTTGGAAAGGGGTCAAACCATCACTGCTAACTTGTATTGTGAGCAGCATCAACGAGTACAAGCAGCACTCATCCAGTGCAGTCCGCCAATTCTTTGACTGCAAATCCAGGGAGTTCCACAATACCGGCATACAAAAATTGGTTCCACGTTGGCAAAAGATCATTGAATGTGATGGTAATTACTTCGACGAATAAATAGTGTCTTATTGTTTCTCAATAAAAACTTATATTTTTCTACTAAAAATCGCACGAACTTATTTTGTTACCTGGTACAATAAATTGGTGCAAACGTCAAGACTGGCGAGGTTGCGTCGTTGGCAATATAGTTTTGAAATTTTCAATATGTGGCTTGAAAACGAAATAACTTTTATAACTTTGAGTGCGATATTCACACAAGTTCCACAGCGGCCAAATTGGCCGATTTAGGTGGTCAAAAATCATTTATAAAATATGTTTTGCATCGGAGATTGTTATTTACTACCTTATCTATGGACTTTGACCCTTCAGAGCAGTTTTCAGCGGATATACCTAAAAAACGTACCTTATTGTTCATGCATGTGCCAGCAAGCTTATATCCCTGGAAGGCTTCATTTCTTGAAAGTCCAACTAACAATTATCACTCCTATTAGAGTTGCAAGAATGATTATACAGTATTCCTTAAACAGCATCGTATACTGTAAGAACATTGGCAAAACCCTCTTAGAACAGCTATACAAGCGGAATGGGCACACCTAATAGGACACTTCAGTCATTTAAGAGGTTAAATAAGGGCTGCAGGTAACATTTATAAAACAAAAGTGTAAGCCTCTTGCAGCCGATATAGGACATTTGCGTCAGTGCAAGATTCAGTTTTTGTCAACTATACAACTATTCTGTTACGTGATTCTATTTTATTGCAACCAAACTATTTATTATGTATTGTATAGACAAATTGAAGAATATATTTATAACTAACACATTACAGTCATCTTGTTTACTTACATATCGGCCATTGTGAATTTCATACACAGGTATATGATAAACTTCTACACTGTGATATAGGGCTAATGAATTACTTGCGCAGCAAATTTTATTGTGATTATCGTGCAAATTTGTTACCCAATTTCTACGGGCTTCGTATTTGATTCATATTTTGATAATGATCAAAAGTATGTCTAGATTTTTAAGATGGAAAACTGAACTTATCTGCGTTAAATCTTCCACAAATCCTATATTCAGACACAATTACACTAATGTGTTTATATCTGTAATTTCGAACTGAAACATAATTATTTAATATTAAATAGAGGAACAAATGTTTGTCCAATATGGCGGGTGGTTGTGTACAATCATGGCATCGTCCATGTTGTCTTTAGGTTATTAGAATATTTTGGTGCTGCCTGCAGGTGTTATACAACAATTTGACAAATGTCTGAAATGAAATACCGACAGAGTCGAATGATTTACCCAGAATTTGTACCAGATCTATATCTTCTGAACAGTTGATAAAACCTTTTGAACCAATATGCACGAGTTGTTTGTCTTAAAACATTGATTATGGCATTTTACAAAAATATGACAGCAGAAAGTTAGGTTATGGTGAAGTTGTTTACCAACATATTTAGCATATGTACAGCCTTTAACAGTTACTAAACAACAGTTGTATAAGTGCTTCCGTTGGGAGCAATTTGTTGGCTAAAGTAGTAAATTGCACAGCAAAACAACAAGGCTCGGGTTTGTTTTATAAACGTTACCATGAATGCCACAACACAACCATTTTGACTAACGTGCAAATATGCCGTATAAAATAGTTGTATAAACGTTTATGCAACAGTTAAAAACTTGCCCAATAAGGTGTTGTATAACTATGCTATAAGAATATTTGAAACACTTCATTTTAGAGCAAATATGTTGCAGAAAGCAAATCTGCATTCCACACAACATTAAGCCAGCATTTTTGTGTTCAGGCAACAACAATAGAGAGCTTTTATGGCTGAATGGTTCTTTTACCAAAAGCTTATACCACTACTTTGCCAGTTGGGATATTAATTTCGCGAGTTGATTGATGATTGACGAGAACACTTAGACTTACTAAGCCACCAGCTCCTTGGCTAACATACAATATTAAAATGATTAATAAAGCCAGAGATAAAGCTTATCTAAGGTTTAAAAGAAGTAAGTCAACTGCCCACTGGAACTATTATAAAGCACTCCGTAATTATGCTGCTGCTGTTACATTCCAAAACTATACATTATTTAATTTTAAACAGAGGCTTAAACTAAAACTGCAAGTCGAGGTCTGATGACGAATACAAAACGTTAGAAATATGGACTATTCTTGTAATTGTTCTGTTTTTTTTTGTGTTGTTAATTATTTAGTAATTATTGAGAATTATGGATACATTTTTATTGGTGGAATGTTTCATTATATATTTTTTTGTTCTTTCAAAGGTTAAGTTGAAAAACGCCTTTTTGTACTTTTACTTAGGTTCGAAATCAAGCCCATTGATTATTATTATTATTATTATTATTACTATTATTATTATTATTATTATTATTATTATTGTTATTATTATTATTATTATTATTATTATTATTATTATTATTATTATTATTATTCTGTATTTCACTCCTAGAGGAAGGGATGACCTTGACCGGAACTCTGCCTGAGTTCTAAGGTCTTTAGTCGGAAAGGGTTTTCCGCAAGATGTGGGCTAGCAGTGCTATCTTTTGAATTTGTCTTGCAAAAACATGTCCGGGGAGTTCTTTTATGTTGTTCTTGAATGACATAGTGGCAGTCCTCAAAGCTCCGATGATCACGGGTACCGTTCTTGTCTTTGTCTTCCACATGCGCGATATTTCGATTTCGAGGTCTTTGTATTTTCTGGCCTTTTCCGCTTCTTTGGTGTTGACGTTGTTGTCGTCTGGTACAGATACCTCAATTAGCAGGCATGCGTTCTGTGTTTTATTATGGTAAATAATATCAGGTCGGTTGGCGGAAATCGTACGGTCGGTAATGACTCCTTTGTCGTACATAATTGATGCTTCGTCTGTCTCTACTGCTGCTTCAGGAAAATGATCATACCAGTTGTTGGTAACTGGTACTTGGTGCTGCTTGAGGATAGCCCAGTATATGTATTTAGCGACGTTGTTGTACCTTTCGGTGTATTCTGGTGGTGCCAGTGTTGAGCAGCCTGAAATAATGTGGCTTATATGTTGCTCACATTGATGGCATATTCTGCATTTGCTGTCGACATTCTGTTTCAGGACCATTCTTCTATGGTAGCGCGTGTTAAGTGCCTGGTCCTGTGCAGCAATCAGTAGACTTTCAGTCTCCGCCTTCACTCCTGTACTTTTCATCCAATCCAGGGACATGTGTTTATCTACATTGGTTGACTTTTTCTGTTCGCATGGCCTCCTTTACTCTGAGTTTCAAGTTGTCCGCTGACTGATCCTCGTTCGATTGGTGTGCATATTGTCTTTTCATGGCTTCCCCGATCTTTGTAATGGAGTATTTAGCATTTCGTTGCTCATGCAATAGTACTAACTTGATGAACTTGTCGTTGGAATGGAGTATATAATCATAAACGCAGGCAATTGTCATCATGTAGGCACTGCAGAGTTCAATTAAACCTCTGCCACCATCGCGCCTTGGAATATAGAGTCCATCTTGGTCAGCTTTGGGGTGATGAAACTTATAAATGGTTAACAGTTTCCTGGTTTTTCTATCTATTTTTTCAATGTCTGATCCGCTCCAGTTCAATATTCCAAAGCTATACTGCATACTGCAAGACTGTTGACTGCCTTTATTTTATTTTCGGCGCTCAGTTCTGTTTTCAAGATTCGCCTTAACGGACCATAGTATTCTTTCTTCACATTTTCTTTCATAGATTCATGATGTACCTCGTCACTTTCAAGAATGCCAAGATATTTATAGGTTTCACTTGGATCAAGGTAGTCAAATCCTGCACTATTTTCAGTTATTTGGTTTGCATTCATTGAGATCTTTCCTCTGGTAATCGTGATCCTTTTACATTTTTCCAGGCCAAACTGCATGCATATGTCCTCACTAAACCGCTTCACAATGTCTAGCTCTCTATCTAGCTGCTTGTTGCTGGATGCGAATAACTTGAGGTCATCCATATATAATAGGTGACTTATATAGGAACCCTGCCTGACCTCGTATCCAAGTTTTCCAGAATTCAGAGCATTAGTCAGTGGAACCAGGGAGATGCAGAATAGCAGCGGTGACAAGGAGTCTCCTCGGAATATCCCTCTGCGGATTCTTATTTTATCAGTTTTTATACACGCTTCAGTGTGATGCAGCTGTAATTTGGTATTCCACTTCTTCATAGATGATCCGAGGAACTTCACAACAATCGGATTAACCCCATATAAACTCAGAGCTTCAAGGATCCAACTATGAGGTATACTGTCGAATGCCTTGGCGTAGTCTATCCAGGCCATGCTTAGATTTCGGTTTCTCTTCTTGGCATCTTCAACTACCATTTTGTCTATGAGTAACTGATCCTTGCAGCCTTGATTTGATCGACGGCAGAATGTTGTTAGAGGACAGATGGTCATACAGTTTATTAGAAATAAGTGAAGTAAGGACCTTATACAGTATGGGTAAGCAGGTAATTGGACAACAATTTTTGCCTCTTTAGAATTTTTGACTTTGTACAGCAAACATGTGATACCAGTTGTCAACCAATGCGGAGGGTTGTTAGGGTGTTTAGTCAAATTGCTCATAGCAACAGCTAGATGACAGTGGAGTGCAGTGAAGGATTTTATCCAGAAGTTCTGGATCTTATCTGGCCTTGGTGCTTTCCAATTTAGCAAACACCTAATTACTTCTTTAACTTCGTCTTCGGTATAGTCATGCCATTGAGAGGTGACAATTTGGCTGTTGTTTCGCCTTTCTTGCTCAATCCAGGCAACTTTTTTGTTGTGAGGTATCTCCTGCTCTAATATGTCTCTCCAAATTGAGTCGACATCTTCTTTTGATGGCGGTTCTTGTACTTGTACTTCTTAGTTTAGACTCCTATAATATTTCTTGGGATTTGCTTGGAATAGCCTATTCTGTTTGTATATCGCCGCAATCTCTGAGCCTTCAAGAATCTGTTTTTCCAATTCAACTGCCTCACCCTGAGCATGCCACCTGGCATCGTTATTCTTAGATAATTCGTCGCTCTTAGTCGCTATAGGAGTGTTGTTATTCTCAGCTAGCTCTCCTTCATTACTCTCTATGATAGCAGGTGGCAGAGTAGGTTCATTTTCTTGCTGGTGAAGGTACGAATACACACCGCATTTTATTTTCTGTCGTTCTGCTTCCGTTAAATTCCTTTCTATTACACGTCACTGGTTTGACAGTTTTTGTGAATTCATATCTGGCATAATATTTGGATTACGATTTCTCCAGATCTCGAAAGTGCCTGTTGTTTTTGGAGCCTTAGTATGCCGACATCACTTCATAGTTCTCCTCCTTTGACCATCTTCGTCTTCTAAGATTATTCATCTGATCAGGTCGTGCTTCAAGACTGTCCCTTTGAACTGAATCTGTGGGATGTAGGTCTTGTGCTGGAGGTAGTTCTGAGTAAGGTTTTCGCTGGCTAATGGTCCGCGAGCCCCTTAGCCGTTACTTTGGTGGTTGCTGATTTCCATTACAAAACGCTGTCTGAATCCGCGGGACTGCAAGTGCAGTGTAGGATTCTGAGCTAGCGGTTCTACCTACCTGGGGTATCTGTTTCGTAGTTTTACCTGACATCGTGGATATATCTTACCACAGCCCCGTTCGCCATAATTATGCGCACTGATGTTCTTTGTGCCGCTGCCCGCTCCACACTTGGAGCTAATGCTTGACTTCTTGCTTCGGAAGAGGGGTTGGATTTCTGTGGAGCTTATAATGATTATTTTGTTAATACGATTTTTGAACTGGCTAAGGTTAGTAGAACTGGAAAAAGCTTCCCATAGTAGATTGTTCCACAATCTCGACACCCTCGGGACAAAGAAGCGGTCATATCGTCCAGTTCTGGATGTACCAAGTTCGACACGGTTAGGATGGGACGTCATCAGCGAAGCTGTGGATTGGGTTTATCGTGCAGGAAAGGAGGTCGTTAATATGTAAGAGAAACAGTGATGGTGCCAAGACCGATCCCTGGGGAGCACCCGCATTGACGTTGTGGGATGAAGAGGAGAACCCGTCAATTACGACGGATATCTTGCGGCCAGAGATAAAGTCAGCTAGCCATCTGCAAAGCTTTTCTGGGAGGCCATAGGATGGAAGTTTGCTTAAGAGGGCAGCGTGCCACAGTTGATCGAACGCTTTCGTGATGTCAAGAGCAATGTCATGAGCATCACCATAAGACTGGATGAGTTTACTCCACTATTGCTTGACGTAAGCTAGGTCCCCTGTCGATCGTTGGTGTCGCAAACCATACTGCCTGTCGATAATCAAGCTGTGACGTTCGAGGTAGTCCAGAAGCTGGCGATTTATGCACCTCTCCATTACCTTACTTATAACAGAAAGCAGAGCTATAGGCCTGTAGTTGTAAGGGTCGGTCTTAGATCTTTTTTTTGGAATGGGTTGGACATGATCAAATTTCCAGAAAATTTAGGGTTTTCTACATAAAAAGGTACTCTTATTGAATATCTATAAATTGTGCCATTTTTGAATAAAATCAAACTAAAACATTTGTCACATGATAGGAAATGTACTGCGAATTTAAATGAATTGTTGATTATACATAGTTAGCCATGACTGCAAACAAAAGTTGTTTTGATTTGTTATGACTTATTTTGACGTTAAGCTGACATTGTTAGCAGTGTAAAATTACTAGATTAGAATAAAAATTTTTATTAAATCGATTTAAAATGCCAACATTTGCAGAGAACTGACTGACATGCATTTTGTGTATGCGTTTTGCGATGGCAGTTCATTGGCAGCCGTAAGAGAATATCAAAGAAGATTTCCCAATCGCATAGTACCTGGACGTCGAATGTTTACTGGTATTCACCAGAATTTGTTCAGCGCATGCAGGGTTCAGGAAGGCCACTGGGAAATCATCGTATGGATATTGATTTAAATATGTATGAAAATAATCCGCAAATAAGCATACGAAATGTTTCAGAAAATATGGATATACCTCGATCAATAGTAAGAAAAATGTATGAATACCTATTTGATAGTTATCCTAAAAATAATAATTTTAGATAGGAAGAATGCAATAATGCAATGATTACATCCTTATCATTTTAAACGGGTCCAGCATTTAACGGAGGTAGATTTTTTACCACGAATCGTGTTTTGCCAGTGGATATTAGCAAATGAAAACACTATTCCTAGAATATTATGGTCGGATGAGTCAATATTTACTAGGAATGGTGCTTTTAATTTCCATAACATGCATCACTGGATAGATGAAAATCCAAAAGTTGTTCACCGTACAAATTTCCAACATAGATTTTCATTGAACTTATGGGGAGGAGTAATTGGCGATCAAGTAATTGGGCCTATTGTACTTCCCAATCGTATTAATTCAGAGGTGTACCTGAACTTTCTTCAGAATGAGCTCATGGATATAATACCATTGGATGTGCGCCAGCAGTTTCAAGAAAATATATTTTTTCAACATGATGGCACCCCTGCACATTTTAGACGCAATGTTCGAAATTGGTTGAATGTCAATTTTCCAGACAGGTGGTTAGGCCGAGGAGGTCCTATAGCGTGGCCGCCACGTTCACCTGCCCTAAATCCATTGGATTTCTATTTTTGGGGGTCATTAAAAGACCTAGTTTACTCGACTGAAGTAAATACTCAAGAAGATTTACTTCAAAGAATCCATCAGGCTGCAAATGAAATAAAACGAAAAAGGTTTTCCACTTTTCGGGCTACGCAATCATTAGTTCGTCGAGCGAGACTGTATCCAACAAAATGGGAGTTTATTTGAACACTTATTGTAAAGCTAGTTTTAAGTATATCCAACTGTATGTCTTCTTTTTTAAACAAATTTCAATTTAGTTCGTAGAAAAAAAATATTTCTTTTGTTTTTGCCTAAATATGTTAGCTACGTTGCAATAGAAATATGTATTTATGTAATATTTACCAATTATTAAATTAGTTTTTTCATTGCCATGGCTAACTATTCAACAATTCATTTAAATTCGCAGTACATTTCATATCATGTGACAAATTTTTTAGTTTGATTTTATTAAAAAATGGCACAATTTATCGATATTCAATAAGAGTACCTTTTTTATGTAGAAAACCATAAATTTTCTAATTCTAAAATTGAATTTTAAAAATAGTATCACACAAAAATATTGGGCCTCAAATAACCTGAGTCCGTCCCTGTTACATACGCTTCCAAACAAAACTGACTAAAATTGTTAATATTTTTAAACCCAGCATAAAAAACTAGGTTAGAATACCAAATTTTATGTCATTATCTCAACACGTTTCGGAAATATTAAGGAAAAACCATCTTCACGGGAGCTCCTTTAAAAGACCGTAGCGCCCTTAGGGGACGTTTGTCGACCTATGTTTATATAAACTTTTCTTCCTATTTTAAGCTCTAGAAACCGCTGGTAGAATATTGCACACTTTTTTCGGGACACCCTGTATTTTTTTTTTTTAACATGTAATTGGCATTGGAAGTTATCCATTTGCCACAGATGTGTGTTACTTATATTTCTCTAATTATGGACAAACACACGACGTCACAACATCCACGGCGAAGGCGAGATTCGAACTCGCGGCCCGGCCGGTCGGCTGATCAGTAGCACGACACTCTGACCAACGCGGCCAACCGAGGCCCCAGGACACCCTGTATATGTTATAACAATGCAGCATCGGTAACTGTTTCAAATTCTTTTGAGCAAAATTGCGCCCGTAAAAAAATATATCTGAAAAAACAAGTTTTTGAGGTAAGGGGCCCCTAGGAACGGCCTAACGATATGAAAATTTTGCTAAGGTGATTTGACCTAATATGCCTCACTTTGGATCGATACGGATTTGGAAATCATTAGAAGCAATTTCGATATGTAGTGACATCAGGTAAGATGAAGTGAAAATATAAATGTGGGCCTTTGAGGTGAGATGGGATAACTCGCAGCCAAGTCAAATTAGGGAAGAACTTGGATGTTGTGCTGGCTTAATGTACAGTCCCACCATACAATAACCAAATTCGTTCACAATTCGTCTCGACTGCCTCATCTCACTGAATTTTGTGGATTTGTATCTCAGATTTCATTTCTGCCATATAGTCTCTGATAGTCACTGTTCTTAGTTACTTACCTACTTAAGGGATCTAGCAAAGGGTCTTGCTTGGAACACGACATGAATAAGTAAGCTTGAAATGAGACTTCTTTAGTACACACGTAACTTAAATATATTTTATACAAATTACAATACCATTGATGTAAAAAATATAATCACTTTATCAACAAATAATATAGCGTTCCACATGAATAGGAATCTTCTTGGCACTTACATACGTCTGTAGCTCTCTCACTTGTAAAGTTACACTCTGTAACAAGAAATAAACATCAGTTAAGAGAATGGAAAAGTTCAAAATCTCTGTGGGGTAGCAAACTGTTGGAACTTGGAACGTGTATCGTGCGTTAACCGTGTGTGTCTGTCATGTGCACTGTTTGTGATTAATGCAAAGTATTTAAGGATAAACAAGGTAGTAAACTGACTCAATACGGTTTGGTTTGGTTGTTAAAAGACAGATGAGTTTGAGGTATCAAGCTTTAACAGCAGGTTTGAATGTTGAACATTATTTAGGAGAATTGATCACAAAAGGCCTGATTTGGGTAAGTACTGTTTATAAGAAGATACTGATCTTTGACCCATGTTAAAATTTTGAATAAAAAAATGCTGAGAACCTGCTTGAACTGGCTATACATAGTGGTTCAATATATTTATGAGACACAACGCGATGAGTTCTTATAAACATAGAACCTAGTATGGCCCCTTGCAGAGATATACATGTAAAATCAAAGTAAAGTATCTGGTGCACTGAGTTCTTGATTTACAATACAATCAGCTATCTCTACAATTTTACATTCAGCAAACTCTTCAATAACCAGTAGGTTTAGTCTAATTATATACTAAGTGACATATAAATCCGAACACCCAGTTTAAATGGTTTTATTTTAATAAAAGTTGGTGAATGTATTTATCTTACTGTAAATAACAAGTGAAAAGATTTTCAGCCTTATCAGTTGGACATTCCGGTTTTTATACTGCTTTTTTTAATTCACTAACGCTCTAAAAATGAATATTTCAGCCGCAGTAAAGAATCAACGTTGGCGGATTTTGGTTCTTGACATCCTTTACGATCGGTTACGATGCCTAGAGTACGGAGACCTGTACGATTTCGTTTGATAGGGGCCGTATAGTGGCACTTCGGGAAGCTGGACTTTCTTTTCGGGCAATTGCAGTTAGAGTGCAAAGAAACAGTGTGGTTAGGTGTTGTCAGGCACGACTTCGAGAAGGCCATACGCAAAGAGCAAGGGGCACTGGACGCCGCCGTAGAACAACAGACCGTGAAGATCGCCGCCTAAGATTATTGGCCTTAAGGGATCGTTTCTCCACTACCAGGTCCATTGCAAATGAGTGGTTTGCAGAACACGGAAGACCTATTGGCATGCGAAGTGTTTACCGACGAATGAGAAGTTTTGGCTTGTTTTCATACCGGCCACACTGGGTCCTCCCTTTAACTCGAGAACACCGACGTAATCGCTTTGAGTGGTGCAGACAACGGTCACTCTGGGATCAGGAATGGAACAGTATTGTCTTTAGTGACGAGTCTCGATTTTGTTTAGGCATGCACGATGGTCGTGCCAGGGTTAGAAGGCGACGTGGTGAAAGGAGGAATCCACAGTTTTTTGTTGAAAGACATGTTCATCACACTGTTGGAGTTAAAGACTTTCAAGATAATGATGTCACATTGTTACCATGGCCACCAAGATCTCCCGTCTTATCCCCAATTGAGCACATGTGGGATATGATGGGTAGGAGATTGCTCAATTTGCAACGTCCTCCTCAGACTCTAGAAGCACTTCGAGAGGAGTTGGTGGTTGCCTGGAATGAGATACCACAGGAGGACATTGACCACCTGATCAGAAGCATGCCTAGGCGCGTTGGAGAATGCGTAGCACATCAGGGTGCATCCACACATTATTAAAGGTCAAAGGGCTTTAAAGCAGTGCAATCATTTTGAAATTTTTATCATTTACTTATTATGCTTCATTAAGTACTTATACAAAATTTTATTAAAATAAAACCATTTAAACTGGGTGTTCGGATGTATATGTCACTTAGTATACTTGACCAATCGACTCCCATTCTGTTGTCGTTAATTAGAAGTATAGAGCCTAAGAATTAGAAGAATTTCAAGTATCTGCGTGAAACTACAGTCACATTACCAACAAGTGCTAAAATCTGCATCCTGCCTCGGTTTTCGGTTATTCTAAAAGTTTTTTCGTTCCTGCTAACACTTTCGATTGAATAACAAAAAACACGTTTTATCATTCTTTGTTGTCGAATAAAAGGTTTTCCCACAAAAAATGGTGTGCCCATTTTATGCGTCCATGATTTGAATACCCCCTTGAACAACTTGCATCAATAAAACCAGAGTTTTCAATTATTTCGCAAACCATTTTCGTCTAATAAGGATTAGACTTGTTACATGAATAAAAGGCATGCTAAATCAGTTTAATTTATTGGATATTAGAAAATTTTTAAGTACCTTTTAATGATTTTTTTCCACAAAATTAAGAAGAGATTGTTTCCAAAATGTCTTAATGCATTACTAAGCTTAAATTTAGGTATCATTCTACTACTAGTTGGAAATCCTTTTTCTATAAACAGTTTATCAACTTTTCTGGTACTATTTGAAGCCATTATTTTTTAAAAACCTTCAAGAATCATATGCCTTAGACTTGTATTTATATACAAACACATTCCTTTATATACTAAGTGACATATAAATCCGAACACCCAGTTTAAATGGTTTTATTTTAATAAAAGTTGGTGAATGTATTTATCTTACTGTAAATAACAAGTGAAAAAATGTTCAGCCTTATCAGTTGGGCATTCCGGTTTTTATACTGCTTTTTTTTAATTCACTAACGGTCTAAAAATGAATATTTCAGCCGCAGTAAAGAATCAACGTTGGCGGATTTTGGTTCTTGACATCCTTTACGATCGGTTACGATGCCTAGAGTACGGATACCTGTACGATTTCGTCAACTTAGTGAGTTTGATAGGGACCGTATAGTGGGACTTCGGGAAGCTGGACTTTCTTTTCGGGCAATTGCAGTTAGAGTTCAAAGAAGTGTAGACACTGTGGTTAGGTGTTGTCAGGCATGGCTTCGAGAAGGCCGTACGCAAAGAGCAAGGGGCACTGGACGCCGCCGTAGAACAACGGACCGTGAAGATCGCCGCCTAAGATTATTGGCCTTAAGGGACCGTTTCTCCACTACCAGGTCCATTGCAAATGAATGGTTTGCAGAACACGGAAGACCTATTGGCATGCGAAGTGTTTACCGACGAATGAGAAATTTTGGCTTGTTTTCATACCGGCCACACTGGATCCTCCCTTTAACTCGAGAACACCGACGTAATCCCTTGAGTGGTGCAGACAACGGTCACTATGGGATCAGGAATGGAACAGTATTGTCTTTAGTGACGAGTCTCGATTTTGTTTAGGCATGCACGATGGTCGTACCAGGGTTAGAAGGAGACGTGGTGAAAGGAGGAATCCACAGTTTTTTGTTGAAAGACATGTTCATCACACTGTTGGAGTTATGGTTTTTGGTGCTATAGCTTATGATTCCAGGTCACCTTTAATCTTCATCAGAGGTGACATGAACGCGCAGCGTTATTTCCACGAAGTTCTAGAACCCCATCTTTTACCCTATCTTGACACCCTGGCAGATCCAACTTTCCAACAAGATAATGCCCGACCACATGTTGCAAGAGTCACAATAGACTTCTTTCAACATAATGATGTCACATTGTTACCATGGCTACCAAGATATCCCGACTTATCCCCAATTGAGCACGTGTGGGGTATGATGGGTAGGAGATTGCTCAATTTGCAACGTCCTCCTCAGACTCTAGAAGCACTTCGAGAGGAGTTGGTGGTTGCCTGGAATGAGATACCACAGGAGGACATTGACCACCTGATCAGAAGCATGCCTAGGCGCGTTGGAGAATGCGTAGCACATCAGAGTGCATCCACACATTATTAAAGGTCAAAGGGCTTTAAAGCAGTGCAATCATTTTGAAATTTTTATCACTTACTTGTTATGCTTCATTAAGTACTTATACAAAATTTTATTAAAATAAAACCATTTAAACTGGGTGTTCGGATTTATATATCACTTAGTATATAAACATAGAACCTAGAATGGCCTCTTGCAGAGATACACGTGTAAACTCAAAGTAAAGTATCTGGTGCACTGAGTTCTTGATTTACAATACAATCACCTATCTCTACAATTTTACATTCAACAAACTCTTCAATAACTAGTAGGTTTAGTCTAATTATATTAGCAAATTTCCCCGAAATAATTGTAAAGTCTGGTTTTATCCTATACATACTTTGTAATGTCTCTTGGGATAATAAAAGAATTTAAATTTGAATTTGAATTTGAATTTGAATTTGAATTTGAATGTTCAGTGGTAATGATGACACTTACCTATTTCTCTTTGCTGTATGCCTCCCAGCATACGTTTCTTGCATTGTACGCGTTGACCATTTTACATTCGCAATCAAGACCCTGTTCCAAGTTCGTCAGTTGGTCAACGATGTTGTGAGCTGCTGTCTGGACAAACTGTTTCTTTGCATCTGCGCTGGCGCTCAGGAAGTTGTCGGTTACGAACACATTGCCGCGGTTCTGTAACAAAAAGAAAATTAGTATGTCGATTCGGTACTTCTCGTATCGAATTTTCCATACATACGAATAATATCCAATAGAACCTCGAATGTCTAAAAAAGTAATCTTCCTATAAATAAGGAGCTTTTTTATATTATTCGCCGTATTGAAAACAAGTTCAATTCGAAAACGGTACCGAAACAAATTCTTTCGTGATTGCAGACAAACTAAATGAATATTTTGTGGAAAGTATTGTTGATATTGTGGGTACCGCCAATGCTGCACCTGACTATATGAAAATCAGTTTCCAGGGGGAAATGTTGCATACACTTTCAAAATTTCACAGTGTATCATTGAATGTTCTAAGAAAAAAGTAAACAGTTTAAAATCAAATAACAACTGCGCGGAAATCACTACTAAAAACGTGCTGAAAAACTGTTTCGAAATTTTGGGATATCCTGTATTAAATTGGATCAATTGTTCACTGAGAAGCAGTTCTTTTCCTGAAGATTTGAAATGCTCTACAATAACACCAGTTCCCAAAATAAAAAAGTCTAAAACATGCAGCGATATGAGACCAGTAAATGTGTTACCAGACATTGAAAAATTATTAGAGTCCATAGTGCATGGCCAATTAATGCAGTTTATAGAAGAAAGCAATATTTTAGTGGAGGCGAAAGCAGGCTTCCGAAAAAATATTCCACAGAAACAGCTTTCCAGTTGGTAACTGAGAATTGGAGAAGAGCCATAGACTCAGAAGAAGTTGTCATAGCAGTATTTTTGGATTTGAAACGATTGATAGAGATATTTTGTTAGGTAAATTGAAGGCATATGGTATAACAGGAAGTGTTTTAGATTGGTTTAGAAATTATTTGTCTAAAAGGATGCAAGTTACAAAAGTTAATGACACTATTTCATCAAAAATTGAAAATACGTTGGGTTTTCCATAGGGCAGTATTCTGGCACCACTTCTTTTTATTTTATACATAAATGATTTACCTGCGATAGTCAAAAAATGCAAAATTCAAATTTTCGCCGATGACACTATGATTCATATAAGTACTAAAAATATTCAGTCTGGTATCTCTTATATAAATGAAGACTTGAAGCTTGTCTCAAAATGGTTAGCATCTAACAGACTAAAATTAAATGCAAGTAAAACGAAAGCCTTGTTAATCGGAAAAAAACAATGTACAAATGTTCAACTGAATATTGATGGTGAAGATATTGAATTCGTACAAAATTTTAAATACCTGGGGGTTTTTGTTGACTCTCGATTAATTTTTGATATTCATTATGAAAAAGTTATAAATAAGATTAGTAGTAAAGTGGGATATTTATCGAGAGTTTCTGGATGTCTGAGTTCATATAGCAGAAAAATTATCTATAATACCATCATTCTTCCAAATTTCTTGTACTGTTCGACTATTCTATATTTAGCAAATAATTCCATTTTTGAAAGACTGCAAATTTTACAAAATAAGTGCATGAGAATAATACTAAATAAAGATAAATATTCATTTATAAAGTAAAAAATTTCCATCAAGTCTAACTAATTTAACATCATCAAATGTCGACCATCATTTACATAATACCAGAAATAAAGATGACTTCCATTTAATGACCAACAAGTATAACATATGCTACAAATCTGTATTCCATCAAGGGTTGATTGAATATAATAAATTATACTCGGAGATAAAAGACCAGAAAACTTTGACAAAATTTAAAGTAAAATTGAGAAATCACTTGTTAAATCTACAGTTATAGGTTGCCCAGCATTTACATCATACACCATATGGCTTGAATTTACTAGTTCTAAGTTGCTTACAATTATTCTGTTTATGTAGCCAAATGTGCTAAATAAATCTTTCTACTACTACTACTATTTTATGTAACTAAAACTTTGGAGTAAATAAAAGCCTCGCCTATGTAGCAGATTCCTACACATTTTATGTCTGCCATATCTAAGTCGATGCAGGCACCTTGCAGTCAAATACATTGGACCTCCGGTAATCCGACAAACATTATGCAGCAGTGTCGGACTATCGAATTTGTCGGATTATAGAGCACTGCCTGCGACCCCCTATAGTCCGGAATTTTTTACAAAAGAGTACCGTGTAATCCGACAAATTACATATCCGATGATAAGATTATGTATACATATATGTTAAGTATATGTATGTACTTTGAAGTAAAAATCATACATAGTTTATATATGTCGAATTTAGTAAATTAAATAACAATAGAGAGTTTACGTTTTATTATAAAATTACATACATATGTACCAAAATAATCAAGAATTATTAATCAAAATCATTAATGAATTTATGAAATTATGAAGCTTGGAAATATTCATCAATTTTTTTGTTTAAGGTTGTTATAACGCGAGATCAGAGTTTTGTCCTTCTCAAAAGTAAAAGTTCGTTGTAGGATGTACCATCCTCTTCAGCCCATTGTAAACCTAGCACAAAGGCGTTAATTGCGTCTCGTGCTGTGACTTGTGGAGCAGTTGCAATCACGTCGTCGTTACTTTCCTGATTGTTTGTTGTATAATTAGAAACCTCTTTTATAATCTCTTCGTCAGACATTTCATGAAAAACATTTTCCTCTTTATCCATTCCACGTCACCAGATTTCCAAATCTTCCGGACTTATCTGTGTTTCAGTAGCGACTTGTTCTATAACTTCCGAAGTAACACTGATTTGTGGAACGTTGCTAGGAGTGGTGATTATATCTGGCCATAACTTTTTCCAAGACGATTTAATAGTTGATGACGGTAACGCATTCCACGACTGACAAAGAGCAAAAACCAAGTCTTTCATATTAAATTCTTTTAAAGTTTTTTCTATTGGTTGGTCTTTTGATACGGCTCTCAGAAGTAGGTTTTTCTTATAGTGTTGCTTGACAAACTGAATGATATTCTGGTCCATTGGTTGAATCAGTGCAGTGCAATTTGGCGGAAGAAACATCGCAGTGATGCATTTATCCTCAGTTGTTAGTTCTTCTTCAGACGGATGACCGGGAGCGTTATCAAGAAGCAACAACGCTTTTTGAGGAAAATGATGCTCTTTTAACCATTTTCTAGCTTCAGGTACGAAGCATTCATAAAACCACTTTTAGAAAAGGTCTTTTGTCATCCATGCACTTTTTTGTCCGTAATAGTGTACAGGTAAATCAATGTTTTTGAATGCCCGTGGCTTATTAGATTTCCAAATGACCATCATCTTAAGCGCGTGTGTGCCCGCAGCGTTAGCACATGGTGGTATGGTTACACGCTCTTTACTTACTTTTCGTTCAGGTACAGATTTTTCGTTACAAGAAACGAAAGTTTTGTTAGGCATCACACGCCAAAAAAGCCCTGATTCGTCTGCATTGTACACCTGTGACGAGTCAAGATTTAAATCGTTCACCTTTTGCAAAAATCTTAATTTAAAGGGCTCTATGCTGGTGGCATCGTTAGAAAGTTTCTTTCCTGTAATAGTCATTAAACGTATGCCATGATGACTTTTAAAACGTTCTAGCCATCCTTTGCTGGCCACAAAATCATCTTTTCTTGTTATTTCCTTATAAAAAAAACTTAGCTTTCATGGCCAACATGAGTTCTGAAATTGGTGCATGCCTATTTATTTCCTGAAGAAACCACATGTACAAAGCTTCTTCCACTTCTGGATGTTCAGCTTTCTCGAGTGTCTGTCTCTTGCCTGGCCCGCAGTCAGTAGTTGACACGAACTTCTTGATCTTCTCGTGGTTTCTTTTAATGTTATAAATTGTAGATCGGCCTACGCCGTATTCACATGCTAAACTAATGAAAGTTTTATTGCGATTTAAGCGGTCTAAAATATCACATTTTTGTTTAATTGTCAATGTTTTGTGCTTTCGCTTCTGAGTTTGTGATGACATTACTAGGTACTATACTTAATACACAATGAATAAATAGTAAACAAAGAACGCACGCTAGGCCGTACCGCTATCACCAGTAGTCAAATTCAAACTAAGTAAAACCATGCTTACGCGTCGAGCACGATAGCGGTGGCGCGTCCAAGTTGTAACCTGTTCAAACCTGCGTGATCTACATTAGCGAAGATTGTATGTAATACATATTCAAAGACATGCCGGATTTTAGGGGGCGCCGGATTATACAGGGGCCGGATTATCGGGGGTCTACTGTACTGTTAATCTACGGCTGTAAATTTCGTTTTGACCCCTTTTGGTTAGTGCTCGCCGCCATAAAAAGAGGAAATATCCACATATTTTCTGATCATAACTCACCCTGATCGTGAAATCGGCGCAGAAGTCCGAGTATTCCAAATCCTTGTACAGCTCGGCTGTGCCTTCCGGCTTTTTGTTGGACATCGTAAACACGTGATCGTTGTTGAAACCAATCACATCCTTCGTCTTCTTCACGTCTTTCACGTTCAGTCCTTGGAAGGGTGTGACCAAGTTTAGGCTGATTTTGTTATCCTTGTACAGTAAGGCCCTTAATTTCTGCAACTATAAGATGAAATAGAAGCGTAAATTATCAACAATTTCTTGATTGCTGAACAAGTAAACACTCTACCAACGTACGTCCTGAAAGTTTTGGCACGAAATTCGTTGGGTTTCATTTTAACAAACACAAAATGATATCAAGTTGCCTTTGGAAACAAAAGTTTGTTTACTTACTCTACTGTCAGTTGACATTTATTTGAAACTCCTCAAAAGTATACTAAGTGACATATAAACACCCAGTTTAAATGGTTTTATTTTAATAAAAGTTGGTGAATGTATTTATCGTACTGTAAATAACAAGTGAAAAAACTTTCAGCCGTATCAGTTGGACATTCCGGTTTTTATACCGCTATTTTTTAATTCACTAACGCTCTAAAAATGAATATTTCAGCCGCAGTAAAGAATCAACGTTGGCGGATTTTGGTTCTTGACATCCTTTACGATCGGTTACGATGCCTAGAGTACGGAGACCTGTACGATTCCATCAACTTAGTGAGTTTGATAGGGGCCGTATAGTGGGACTTCGGGAAGCTGGACGTTATTTTCGGGCAATTGCAGTTAGAGTGCAAAGGAGTGTAGACACTGTGGTTAGGTGTTGTCCGGCATGGCTTCGAGAAGGCCGTACGCAAAGAGCAAGGGGCACTGGACGCCGCCGTAGAACAACAGACCGTGAAGATCGCCGCCGAAGATTATTGGCCTTAAGTGACCGTTTCTCCACTACCAGGTCCATTGCAAATGAATGGTTTGCAGAACACGGAAGACCTATTGGCATGCGAAGTGTTTACCGACGAAGTTTTGGCTTGTTTTCATACCGGCCACACTGGGTCCTCCCTTTAACTCGAGAACACCGACGTAATCGCCTTGAGTAGTGCAGACAACGGTCACTCTGGGATCAGGAATGGAACAGTATTGTCTTTAGTGACGAGTCTCGATTTTGTTTAGGTATGCACGATGGTCGTGCCAGGGTTAGAAGGCGACGTGGTGAAAGGAGGAATCCACAGTTTTTTGTTGAAAGACATGTTCATCACACTGTTGGAATTATGGTTTGGGGTGCTATAGCTTATGGTTCCAGGTCACCTTTAATCTTCATCACAGGTAACATGAACGCGCAGCGTTATAACCACGAAGTTCTAGAACCCCATCTTTTACCCTATCTTGACACCCTGGCAGATCCAACTTTCCAACAAGATAATGCCCGACCACATGTTGCAAGAGTCACAATAGACTTCTTTCAACATAATGATGTCACATTGTTACCATGGCCACCAAGATCTCCCGACTTATCCCCAATTGAGCACGTGTGGGATATGATGGGTAGGAGATTGCTCAATTTGCAACGTCCTCCTCAGACACTAGAAGCACTTCGAGAGGAGTTGGTGGTTGCCTGGAATGAGATACCACAAGAGGACATTGACCACCTGATCAGAAGCATGCCTAGGCGCGTTGGAGAATGCGTAGCACATCAGGGTGCATCCACACATTATTAAAGGTCAAAGGGCTTTAAAGCAGTGCAATCATTTTGAAATTTTTATCATTTACTTATTATGCTTCATTAAGTACTTATACAAAATTTTATTAAAATAAAACCATTTAAACTGGGTGTTCGGAATTTATATGTCACTTAGTATATAAGAATTGCTGGATAACCAAAGAAATGATTGACGAAAGTAAGTTTTTAAGAGAGTTACATTTTGCTACAAAAATAAGTAATGATACTGAGTTGACTGGACGATATAAACTACTGATTAAAGAACATAAAAGAAAATTATTGGAAACAAAACGAGACTGCTCTGATAATAAAATTGCTAAGTCTAGCAATTAGAGTAAGACTGCTTAGGAAATCATCAGTGCCAATTCAAAACAAACAAAAAGACAAGTTTCTGAGATTATTTCTGATAACGATGGAAATGTTTTCTCTACGTCATCCAAGGAAGCTGCTGACGCGTTTAATAATTTCTTTATAAATTCTGGAACTGACTAAGTCTATGACTTTGGGTGGGCAGCATGTACCAACTCTACATCCCATCAATACAGATTCCATATTTTTAAGCGCAGTTACTGAAGATGAAGCTGTTGAGCTATTAAAACACGTCGCAAAAAAGAAGTCAGCAGGCTTGCTCATTCCTACTGAAACCTCTAAGAGCACTGTTAAATCTGTCTTTTGCAGGCATGTTTCCTTATAAGCTGAAGGAATCACTTGTTATACCAATCTATAAAAAAGATGATATTGATGACGTCTAATTATAGGGGCATTTCTTTGTTATCCGTATTCGCAAAATTCTTCGAAAACGCTTATTATAATGAAATGATAAAATTTGCTGACAAATTCAATATCATCAACAGGTACCAATTTGGATTTCAGAAAAACCTATCTACAATAGATGCAGTATTCTCTATGTGTGACTTTGTCTTAACATGCCTTGAAAAGAAAGATAACTCCTGTTGTCTCTTTATAGATTTTCACCGCGCTTTCGATACTGTGTGAAAAGCTTAATAACTACGGAGTCAGAGGAACCGCTTTAAATTGGATAGAAAGTTATCTATCCCATAGGGAACAACATTAATAATGGCAGATGTAAATTATCTTCTAGCACAACTTTTTAATTTGTTTGTTTATGTTTTTATTTTGAGTACAATATGTTTGTACATATTATTTAATTTACTTAGTGTTGACTCGATCACAACTTTAAGGTATTTTCTTTTCTCATTCATCATTGACATTTTGCTGATACTTTTTCAAGTCAAATGGCAATAAAGATATTTATTTATTTTGAAGTTTTCGCTTTAAGATGTCGTATAAATTAGAAATACGAGAAACAATAGCGGAGTGTGAGCATGTCTAAATCTCCCAAAAAGTGGAAGACCACGTGCATTTACAGAGTACAGAGAGATTGGTGAGAAGAGCAAAAAATCAGGTTGGAATGTCAACAAGGAGACTGGCTCGTCAATACAGACCTTTTAAGAGTACGATATCGTTGAAATTCAGGAGGAACAGTCTTAAATATCGAAAGAAACTTAAGTGGCCCAAATACTCTCAAGTGCAACTCTTAATTTCGATGACGAAAAGTATTTCAGTTTGAGTAATTCTGAAATGAAGGGAAACGACGGATTTTATACGGACAATGTTAGATACAAACATAAAGCGAAATTTGCAGATAAAATCCTTGTCTGGTGCGCAATTTCCAACAGGGGTGTATCGAAACCTTTTGTGGGAAGATTGAGGGGTGAAGCTTTGAATAGTCAGAGCTATATTGATAACAGCCTCAAGAGATACCCAAAACTTTCTTCGAAAACACAACAACCTTTTGTTTCCAAAAATGATAATCCTCCGCGGTTTTTTTAACCAACCGGAAGTCTTCACTGTTGAGGGTGAGTATTTAACGCATTGCGAATATATTGTAACGCCCTCGTATAGCTGGGACATTGAGCGGCGAGGAGTCGCCCTAGGCAACCAGTTACGCGACCGTGTGTGTGCGCTTGCCCCGCTGTCTAAGAAAGAGCTAGGCCGAGATCCAAGAATAATTGAGACCCGTCTAGAGGCACTTGGTGCCATCTACACTACTTCCATAGAAGTTCACGAATTGAATATTTCTCAATGCGTCGATAGGGGATAAATACCCGACCAGATGGCAGAGGCAGTTAGTCCCCGACGAAAGAGTCAAATAACGCGGAATGTTGTAGACTGGTCAACATGGTTATAAATTGGCATAAATTAGTATGTGTTATAAATTAGTGTAAAAGTAAATTAGACTTTGGACAGTAAAAACAGTATTCTCGTTACAATATTTAAAGCATCGATTCAGTTCATCAGAGGCGTTCAACAGTTTTAGGATCTATTAACATATTCAAATGCATGTCGGGTATTTTAAATTGTTAACCAATAGTTTGTAATTTTCAGAAGTAACAATATTATTTACCAGGTGCAATCTGCCGACTTCACACGGTTTGCTGTTTACAGCAATTATAGCTTTGACTGCATGAGCTCGGAATGGATAGCTGATAGCTTCGTTGTACGTCTTGGCTTCCAGTGTCATTCCTAAAGCCAGTTTTAGGTCGTGCAAGACGCTTTCCAGGGTTTCCAGGTATGGTTTCAGGGTAGCACCTGTGGGTAAAAGGATAACATAAGCTTATTTGTTGAGGCCTACGGTTAAAATTAGAGAAATTACAAGCGAAAGTGTTTTAGCTTTCTTTTTAGATATCAATGTTTTTCAAAAAGGTATCCCCATTTATTTGAGAGATAATGATTCTATTTTATAGACAGTTTAAATCAAATAGTGAAGACGATTGTTGGCGGTGATCCAAGCTTATGTTCATTTCAAGTATATGATAATTCACCAATGAACCAATTTAGGACAATAAACATCAATAATCTGAGAAAAGCTATCTCAGAATTGAAATCTAATGAAAATCTAAGTGAGAATCTCTCAAAAAAGATTCTAAATGATTGTTTCAATATAATTGGAGAGAAAATATCAGTATTCGAAGAATAGACAGAGATATTTTAGAGGGTGAGTCCTTGTTAAAAAAATATGAAAAAAAGTTTCTATAAACATGTGTCCGAAAATGCAGAGTTTTCAAGGTACCAGGTGATGAATTTAAAAAAAAACTATTAATTTGTTGTAGTATACTGTCATGGTACCTATTGGAAAAGTTGCAATAACACTCTTCCTAGAATTTTTTTAATTTTTTTTCAAAGGCACTGGTGATTCCTATAGCAAAAATTAATAAACCAATTTTAAAGTTACAAAACAGACAGTAACGTACATTTTTAATATTCCCTAAGGTGCTCCTCGGGCCGCCACTGGACCTAATAATTTTAACCTATTTGGGGCTCTTAATACAACAAATAATATTGCCAAATTTCAACAGAATCAAATAAAGATTTTTTAAGATATTCTAAAAAAATATTTTTTTTAATTATTTATTTATTAAATCACTCTTTATTTCCGGCCCCTGTTTATAAAAGCTATTTTCATATTTTTTAAAAAGGACTCACTCTCTAAAATATCTCCGTCTATTTTTCGATCACCCTATATATTGTTCATTATACAGGGTGTTTCAGTTTATTGTTGCATAACTTTAAGATTCGATAGAACTTTTAAAATTAATGCATAAAGTCTATATAAACATGGGTCGAAAAATGCGTGGTTTCCGAAATACAGGGTGTTTAAATTTACTTTCTAAAATAGTTTTTGTTAAATATTTCGAACAATATTTGATGTATAACAGTGAAAATTGGTATACAAAGGTTTTTTGGTACGGTAAAACGAACCATGGGCATAGTTTTACTGTAGCCGCTAGAGGGCGCTCTCTACTGTACCTGTAGTGTATTAAAATGACCGAAAAATTTTTCTTATTGCAATTTTTTGCTTTTTGAATAACAAAACTGATTCCTCGCACTTTTCAACATAAAAAAGCTCTCTTGTGAATTTTCGTTATACGACATATGTTACAAATATTCGATTACGGTAGATACCAATCCACACGTTCACACTAATTTCATGCTGAAAATTTCTTTCCCGAACTGCATGCGGATTTTCATGCGACCAAATATGTTGATTATGAAAATTTACCACTCCACGTCTAGTGAAGCATGACTCATCGGTCCATAAAACGTTACTTAAAAACTCCCTATTATTATCAGTTCTATCAAGAAACCACTGACAAAATGTGATTCTTCGTGCTCCGTCCCCTGGCTGTAGTCCTTGCACAGGTTGCAAATGGTAAGGACGTCTATGTTCATTTCTAAGAACACGGTGAACATGGCTTGCTGAAATTCCCAAGGCACCAGAAACTCTACTAACACTTGTGGTCGGATCTCTATCAAACTCACGCAGAATCATACGGGTAAATCTGCGCTGACGAACATTTATGTTTTGATCCCTTTGGAGATTTCCAAAACCATTTTCAATTATTTGGCGATGCACTCTTACAAATACTGAGCGAGTTGGATGTCGTCTGTTTGGAAATCTTCGTGCGTATTCTCTGGCTGCTTCTGCTGAGTTTCCATTTACAAAGCCATATACAAAATGAATATCCGCTAACTCTTGATTGGAGAATAAAAATTGCATTTTTATGAAACTTACAAAAAGAAACAGGTAAAAGAAACTAAATTTCGTGCACTCACAATTGCAAAAAAACGTTTCAGGTTTCAACAGGCAACAAAACTAACTGTCAACTATTTGACGTTTAACCTTATTCTGCTTTCAATTTCAAAAATATTTGCAGTCACAGCCTACTTCTAAAAATTATCGAGATACTGACTTTTTAACGTTATTTTATCATAAATAGTTAAAAATGCATCGAACCCTAAAAATCGAAATATCTCAAAAACGGCTAACTATAACGAAAATTCACAAGAGAGCTTTTTTATGTTGAAAAGTGCGAAGAATCAGTTTTTTTTATTCAAAAAGCAAAAAATTGCACTAAGAAAAATTTTTCGGTCATTTTAATACACTACAGGTACAGTAGAGAGCGCCCTCTAGCGGCTACAGTAAAACTATGCCCATGGTTCGTTTTGTCGTACCAAAAAACCCTTGCATACCAATTTTCACTGTTATACATCAAATATTGTTCGAAATATTTAAAAAAAACTATTTTAGAAAGTAAATTTAAACACCCTGTATTTCGGAAGCCACGCATTTTTCGACCCATGTTTCTATAGACTTTATGCATTAATTTTAAAAGTTCTATCGAATCTTAAAGTTATTCAACAATAAACCGAAACACCCTGTATATTTTATTTATTTTATTAATATCCTTTACTTACCAACGCTATCAGAGATATGTTCGTGTTTGGGGTTTGCGGCGAATTTGATGTCCGGAGCATTCTGTTCAAATGTCAGCTTTCCACCGTCAACTGTCACGTGACTTGGCCATTGGTTTTCGCCACCGTGGGCTATCAGATGGAACTGGACATCACTGGAAATGACGAGAAAATGTTTTCAATAAATACTTTTCACAATATCATATGATGATAGTTTTAATGATTGGTAAACGTATTTTGGGGCAGATGCTAACATATTATTTCAATAAGAAAGTTTGAAATCTGCGGCAATTATAAGTATTTTCCGCATTATTTTCATTGTAAAAGAAATGTTAATAGAAAGGCATTAAAAGTTGGCAAAAAAAGTAATGAAGCTATAGTCTTGTTTTTGAATTATTTTGTCATACTGATGTTTCCCCCCAATGATCGCATATTATATAACATGTTACTACAAAACTGGAAGTAGACATTAGTTTAGTTTTTGAAATAATTAGCTGAAAATTTGATAAATCCATAGTTTGATTCGATATTGAACTGACATCGAGGAGTACAGAAGATGAAAGTTGTTATCTACAAGGGGGGCAAAAGCTCCTGACTGATTTTAAAAATTTATAAGTTTTTCCCAAGTTAACATATTTGATTTTTTTATCAGATTTACAAAGTAGATCTCTGGATATTTTAGAATGGAGAGACTTAATCTAATCCAGAGAGAAGTCGTACAATTTTACTATGAACATAATCATTCGATTGTAAACACCAAGAGAGCTTATCGAAGATTTTTTAATGTTCGAAACGCCCCATCCGCTGGGACTATCCGCAGCATTATTCGGCGTTTCCAAACCCAGGGTTCTGTATCGGACCTTCCCCAAACTGGACGACCACGTTTAGCTTTCACTGGAGAAAACATAGAGAGAGTAGAGGAAAGTGTTCAGGAGGACCCCGAAACATCGACCAGAAGAAGGTCAACTCAATTAGGCCTCACCAGGACATCCCTCAGAAGAATTTTGAAACATTTGCGGCTGTTTCTTACAAAATTCAAATGGTTCAGCACTTACGACCACAAGCTTATGGACAACGACTAAATTATGCCATTCGTTTTCAGCAATTGGTTAGAGAGGAAGACATTTTTTTAAATCGTCTAATAATGAGTGATGAGGCGCATTTTCATCTGAATGGTTTTGTGAATCCGCAAAATGCAAGAATTTGGGAAAGGCAAAATCCAAGGGCTGTACACGAGAGAGAATTACACCACATCAAATGTACGGTTCGGTTTGGTGTTACCACCCAGGGTATTATTGGGCCTTATTTCTTTCAAAATGCTTGAACATTTTTTGATTCCAGCGCTTGAAAATAGACCTGATATATGGTTCCAACAGGATGGAGCCACAGCTCATACAGCTGTAGCCACAATGGCATTGCTAAGAGGATTCTTTGGAGAACGTCTGATTTCAAAAAGATCGGCAATTGAATATCCCCCATGTTCCCCTGATTTAACCGGGCCAGATTCTTATCTATGGGGATATTTGAAAGAAAGAGTTTACCGCAATAATCATAATGGAAATTCGAGCCATACATCGGGAAAGATTGGAGGCAGTTATGGACAATGTCTTGGAAAGGAATGTTGCGTGTGAAAGAGAAAATGGCCGTCACTTACGCGACATTATTTTTTATACTTAATACGAAAAAAAATCCAATAAATATATGTTATTTTTGTAAAAACTACATTAAAAAATATTAATAAATAAAAAAGTTATTAAAGTTTACAATAGGTCAGCTTCTTTTGGCCCACCCTGTATGTCCCTCCAAACCAAATGAGTGTTACGTTTAATTGACAAACGAATCAAATTGTTTAAACATAGTTATTTATGTTGACTGTCCTAGAATATCCAATCAGGATAAATTGTCGAGAAAACTCACCTAATTCCCTTGCCTTTTAGTTCCTTGGAAACATCAGCAACAATTGGTTGTATCAAGTCTTTGTAAACTCCTTCGTTTTCTTTGGCAGTATCAACCAACAGGATGATATCAGCCGCTTTTCCTGGGAGCTTTACGCTGAATTTGTCTCCAACACCGTAGGCTTTGTCAGCATTTTCACAATGTACTGAAACAAAAATGTTTTTATCGAAATTGCTCGTAATATTCTAAGGGCCGTAGTTTAATACTTTTGGGCTTTCATTTTGTTGCAATGCTAGCTAAAAATGCACCATTTACAGCTGCAATTGTTTTTTGCTGAGAATATCGCTATTTTTATTACGAGCGGTGCCGATGTCTGGAAGCAACAGAAATCAAAGAAAAAATAAAAATAATTCAACATCAACTTTATTTTTTCTTACGGAAGCTTTATTGTATTTTTGCTCAGGTGAATAGAGTTTTCAATTCTGATTCCAAAAACGTATAATATGTAATCCATTGACATTACCAAACCTTAGTTATTTAAAAAATAAAAATTTGTTAGGTAGGCCTTGAAATTGTCAGACAGTGATTTGTTTTATATGCCAGATCTATCGCACAATCATTTCTAGTTTTTCTTTCTTTGAGATGAGATTCCAAAATAAATAGCGCACTTATAGTGTCACTTGTTTTCCTGTACAAGATGACCTAATTCGAGGTTTCTGCTTTCGACTTTCATCACCAACTTTGTTTTTTCATATTGACACTATATTTTAATTTTCTCTTGTCTTAAATCATCAAATTTATTTATTGAAATTATCAGATATTGTTATCATATACTCGTTTGTTCCATATCTTGCATACCTTGACTATTTATGAAGTGGACAGTGTTAATCAGTCTCTATTTCAGATTTTAATGATGTGATATTATACATTTATCTTGACATGGATAGTTATTATAACAATTGAAATATTTAAAAAAGTAGTCTTTAGAGAATAGGATAATTCTAACTTTTTCATAACATTTAATGGTAGCATCGAAAACTTTGAGAAGGTATAATTTTAAGAAACTGATGGAAACATTCAAAAGTAAAAGACGATATTTCAGGCTGCTATACGCATTACATATTTGTTATATCAAACATGTTGCATTGAAATAATATATATATACAGGGTGTTTCAGTTTATTGCTGCATAAGTTTAAGATTCGATAGAACTTTTAAAATTAAAGCATAAAGTCTATATAATCGTGGGTCGAAATACCCTGTATATGTGTTTAAATTTACTTTCTAAAATAGTTTTTTTTTTTAAATATTTCGAACAATATTTGATGTATAATAGTGAAAATTGGTATACAACGGTTCTTTGGTACGACGAAACGAACTATGGGCATAGTTTTACTGTAGCCGCTAGAGGGCGCTCTCTACTGTACCTGTAGTGTATTAAAATGACCGAAAAATTTTTCTTAGTGCAATTTTTTGCTTTTTGAATAAAAAAACTCATTCTTCGCACTTTTCAACATAAAAAAGCTCTCTTGTGAATTTTCGTTATAGTTAGCCGTTTTTGAGATTTTTCGATTTTTAAGGTTCGATGCATTTTTAATTATATATGATAAAATAACGTTAAAAAGTCAGTATCTCGATAATTTTTAGAAGTAGGCTGAGCCTGCAAATATTTTTGAAATTGAAAGCAGAATAAGGTTAAACGTCAATTAGTTGACAGTTAGTTTTGTTGTCTGTTGAAACCTGAAACGTTATTTTTTTGCAGTTGTGAATGCACGAAATTTAGTTTCTTTTACCTGTTTATTTTTGTAAGTTTTCAAAAAATGCCATTTTTATTCTCCAATCAAGAGTTAGCGGATATTCATTTTGTGTATGGCTTTGTAAATGGAAAGCAGCAGAAGCAGCCAGAGAATACGCACGAAGATTTCCAAACAGACGACATCCAACTCGCTCAGTATTTGTAAGAGTGCATCGCCAAATAATTGAAAATGGTTTTGAAAATCTCCAAAGGGATCAAAACATAAATGTTCGTCAGCGCAGATTTACCCGTATGATTCTGCGTGAGTTTGATAGAGATCCGACCACAAGTGTTAGGAGAGTTTCTGGTGCCTTGGGAATTTCAGCAAGCCATGTTCACCGTGTTCTTAGAAATAACCATAGACGTCCTTACCATTTGCAACCTGTGCAAGGACTACAGCCAGGGGACGCAGAACGAAGAATCAGATTTTGTCAGTGGATTCTTGATAGAACTGATAATAATATGGAGTTTTTAAGTAACGTTTTATGGACCGATGAGTCACGCTTCACTAGACGTGGAGTGGTAAATTTTCATAATCAACATATTTGGTCGCATAAAAATTCGGATGCAGTTCGGGAAAGAAATTTTCAGCATGAATTTAATGTGAACGTGTGGATTGGTATCTATCGTAATCGACTATTTGGACCCTACCTTTTGCCTGCAAGGTTAAATGCTGCGACCCATGGTTCGTTTTGTCGTACCAAAAAACCCTTGTATACCAATTTTCACTGTTATACATCAAATATTGTTCGAAATAATTAAAAAAAACAATTTTAGAAAGTAAATCTAAACACCCTGTATTTCGGAAGCCACGCATTTTTCGACCCATGTTTATATAGACTTTATGCATTAATTTTAAAAGTTCTATCGAATCTTAAAGTTATGCAACGATCATTCTCCTCTAGCTTTCAAGCCATTTGTGGTGCAATGAATTTGCATTAATAGATTTGTATTCTTACCTAAATGTGATGGCACACTGATAGGAATGTTGTGAACATGGCAGGCGGCGACGTAAGCCTTGGCGATGTTAAGTTCGGTATCCTTGACGCCGCCTTCTTTTCCATGGACGCAGGCGGTCTTGAACTTTTCGGTACTAACGAAGGGGAAGCAGTACCGCATTGAAGATTCAAAGCTGAACAGTTTCGTGCATTCGGGGACGTCCTTGTGGTCCGCATGTTTGGGTACGTTCACCTGGAAACAGAATACAGCTGATTAGAATACGCAATTTGTAAATAAATGTCAAAAGTCGTAGTATGCAACTCCCGTACATTATATAATACGAGTGATGTCTTTTAAGTTTTGCATATAGAAACATAAATTCAAAGTTTAACAGCAATACGTGCAGTATTCTCAGTACAGTGAATTTTTTTAAGTGTCACCAAGTCATTAGAAAAATTGAACTCAACCGAGAACATTTTCGCGCCATAATTTATTACAACTTTCAGAGACAATTATCGCAACAAGAATGCCTTGCTGAGTTACTGTCTGTTTTCGGCAACGAAGCGCCACATCAGTCGACAATTTCCCGTTGGTATGAAGAATTCAAACGTGAACGGGTGAGTCTTAGCGACGATTCATTGAAGATAGACATGTGACATATCGCGAGATTGAGGCGTCCTCGAAGATCTCAAACACCTCAATTCAAAAAATTTTATATGAAGAATTAGGAGTAAGAAAATTAGTTTCTCGTTGGATACCCCACCTGTTGACTGAAGAGCAGAGCCAGGTGTCAAAAAACGCTTGACCGCTTCAATTCCGGAAACTCAAAAAATGTGTACAGCATTGTTAGTGGTGATGAATCATGGATTTACTGTTATGAACCAGAAAATAAATGACAGTCGGCTGTTTGGGTGTTCCAAAGCCAACAAAAGTCATCCGTTCTCGAAGTGTTTCGAAAAAGATGGTCGCGACATTTGTGTCAAAAGCGGGTCATATTGCAACAAGTCCTCTTAATGAGCAAATAACTGTTACTGCGGATTGGTATACCACCATTTGTTTGCCAAAAGTTATCACCGAGCTTCGAAAAATCAACCCCGAAAGAAGAATCATCCTCCACCAAGACAATGCAAGCTCGCACACAGCCCAAAAAATAAGGCAGTATTTAACGGAAGAAAACGTGGAATTATTGGATCATTTTCCATATAGTCCCGATCTAAGTCCTAACGATTTCTTTACTTTCCCGAAAATTAAAAACAGACTGCGTGGTCAAAGGTTCCAGTCACCAGAAGAAGCAGTTGACGCATTCAAAAATGTCGTTTTGGATATGCCAGCAAACGAGTGGAATAAGTGTACCTCGTTGTTTTATTTCCATATGCAAAACTTAAAAGACATCCCTCGTATGCAATGGAGAATCAGCATTCTGGATTGCAAACGTGTTTATTTGGACAAAAAGTATCAATTCGTTGACATTTTGAGATAAACGCTGTAGAAGCTTCGACTTTTCGGTGTCTTTAGTTATTGTTGTTGCTGTTGAAGATTTATTTAGCATTACTGCTACAATTTCAATTTCGTATAATTATTATTTATTTACACATTTTTTTTAATCCATTTTCTGTAATTTTAAATTTTTGACTATTAAAATGCATTTTATTCATAAAGTGATTTTTTAGTTTCACCTTAAACGTTTTTAAATTCGAACACTGTTTAATATCATTATACAGGGTGTCCGCAAAAGTTGGGGTTTTACTTTACACGACGTGTAGATCTTGATAACATAAGCAATTTTTCTTAGTACCATATACACCAATGTCTTAAGGGAACCGAGATAAAGGGCTCTGCAACATCAAAAATATCTGAATACCGTCCTGTAGCCGCGACATCCCCGACTGGCACTAGAACACTAGCTCAACCCGACGACAGAACTGGGTCGGGGTCAGTGTGTCAGGTCAGTATGCAACCTTCAACCGACGGTTACGCTCACGCGTGTAGAGGTAAACGAACACGTATAAACGATTGCGTTTCAAAAAACAACAAGCACTAGAGACGTGGCTAGAGAAGTGCAAGTATCAAAAACTAAAGTGTGGCAAACGCTGCGTGAAGAGGGGCTGTATCCGTTTTACGTCCAACGTGTACAAGCCCTTTAACCTGACGATTTTCCAGCAAGAGTGCGGTTTTGTGAGTGATTGTTGCATCAACATGACAATAATCCGGACTTTTTGAAGTGCATATTGGTGACAGACGAATCTACGTTCACGAGTAATGGGGTGAATAACTTTCGCAACACTCATGTTTGGTCAGTAGAAAATCCGCACGCCGTCCGTCGGGCACATTTTCAACAAACATTTTCGGTGAATGTTTGGGCTGGCATGGTGAACGGTATGCTCATTGGACCATTTATTCTCCCAAATCGATTGGACGGGATGCAATACCTAGACTTTTTACGGAACATTTTACCTTCCTTGTTTGCCTGCGTCTGCTCGGTAGCGCATCAGCTGATTTCATTTTCTGTTGGAGCGGTATGATTTCGGGCAGAGATGTACTTAGCCCTTCTCGTCAACTGGAGAGTGAGTACTTTTTCCTTTATTTTTTTTTTACTTGGTCGCCCTCGTTTCACTACACATTACCTTTGTTATTTCAAGGGTAGTTGTTTCTGAAAAGGAAAACCCCAACTTTGCGGACACCCTGTATAATTTATTAAATTCAAGTGCTCACACAATACAGATTTGGTAGTTATGCTATTACAATTTTGCAGATGAAAATCTATAGTGCCTCTACTTTCGTAGTTATGATAATGACTATATAATTTTGTGAAGCTGTTAATGAACTAAATAATATATGGAATGTTTTATATTCAACAACAGCATTTCTTCTTACATAGACTTAATCCTAGCATATTTGTTTTTATTTAAAATGCTTCTAATAGCTTTACTTTGTAGAATTTATTTAAAACATCAATGCTGATTTTCCAGTTCAGAGTCAAGTGTCAAACCTAAACATTTTAATTGATCTTCATTTTGGATGTTTAGGTCTCTCATTTGCGATTTAGTAACAACTTGTTGAAATAAAACCAGATTTTGGCTTTTTCCAATTCAGCATCTGTTCGATGTACTTCCAACTAACTGCAAGAGGTATTGATGTGTCATCTTCAAAGAGCGTCTACTTGGAAATTATTTCATTGTTAAGGAAATCATTAGTATATATGAGAAAGGGTATGGGGCCTGGTACATAACCTTGAGGCACTCCTACCGATATCTTCCGGCTTGCAGACCTCACACCATCAATCTCTAGAGTTGTTAAACGTTTTTACTGACAATCTTTCGGTTATCATCCCTTTAAGAAAACATTTTAGGTGATTCTTGACTTCAGATTTACCAGACTGGAAGTATTTCATGATTTTCAAGTTAAGTGCAAGAAATTGACGCAATATCATACAAGGTTATAAGGATCTTAAAGTGGATTGAGTGGGGGTATGATATAATTTCAAGTGATATTACTAAGAACTACACCCATACTTTGTCGAACCTCAACCTAAAGGAAGAAATAAAGCAATGGCGGCTCGTGGCAAAATTAAGCAGGTGTTCTGCAAATCCGAACTTAGCTATTTTTTATATGTCAGTTCGATTCTGCGCTGCTTCTTGGCAGCAAATTTGTCGATCACGCTGTAAGGCGATCCTGGGTCATAGTATTACGAAGAAAAGTCTTGATTCTTTTTAATGTTGAGAAATTTCGCTCAGCCTCTGATGTTGACATAGGAGTTGTAACAACAATTTCTAATAGCTTTTTTATTTCTTTTAGTGTTTCCTCCAAACTATTTTGCATCAAAAATTTCAAAAGAGTCAGAGTTCCATGTAAATCTCGGCAATCATTCCGTGCATAAATAACAGACAACTCTGTCTTTAAACGACTTTTTTCTAATTCGGGATAAGCCAAGCAGGTAGTTTCCAACTTATCATCAGGAAACTTACCACAGTATTCTCCAAAGTGTTCGAGGAAAAAAAAGGGATGCGGCTGCCAAATGATCTTTGAAGTGAAATCTGTCATTTGCAGAATTCACTATTTGTGGCATACTTCTAATGCGGCAACTCGGTGATCGTGACTGCTATTATTACGTCGTCTCCTTTTGTTGCCTTGGGGTTCAGTGCAAATACTTTTGGCTTCATTTATTATGTCATCAATTTTATTTCTCACATCGACAATACATTTTTCAAAATTATCGACAGCCGTTTTAACTTGCGCTGGCTCGGTTTTTCTCTTCTGCAACTGGTTGAACAAGATGTCGACGTGAGGCATGACATGATGTAAAAATGTCAACCAAAACACGAAAACAGAATCGTTTAACATACGGCGAATACCGCAAGCTGCCTCGCAAACGGTTTCATCAGTGAAATTTTCTTCTATTTCTTCCATGCATTCAGTGAGTGATTCTCTGTTCTCAAACACTACATTTATTGTTCGAATATTAAAATTCCAACGAGTTGTTGCTCCTTGGGGAATTTTTTCCCACAATTCTGTTCAGTACCTCTACGCGTTGAGAGAATTATTAAAAAATCTAGTTCGCATTAGATCTGTACGGATCTGTATAACTTGCAGCGCATGCTTATGCTTAAATGGCGCATTTGATTTTGTAGAGAGAGACAAAAACAAGCGAAGTAGTGCACAGACCCTTTTCAAGTGGCCCATGAATAATGTTACGCTGCGGTCGCGACGAAAATGACAACTACACAATTGGTCGATTATAATGCTTTCTCAGTACAAAACAGACTCGACGCCGTGTCTTGCGGGGGCAGCGTTGCCGGTATTGTTTCTATTTGTGCGATAACATGGCAAATAAATAATGATCAAATTACTACTGATTTTTTCTGTTAAGACAAAAGTTTTGGCAGTTCTGCAGCTCTGCAGAACTTAAGGGCCAGCCGTCCCTGAAATAAAGTATTTGGCGTTAATCAAATTACCTGTGGACAGTTGCCAATCTTGTAGGAGTTTCCAAATTCACCTTCAGACACAACGATCTTTCCATTGGGAATAGTAAAGTCGTCGTAAGGCTCGTTGTTGCCGTTTCCAAGCAGTCCCTTGACCTGAGCGTGATAGAATCCAGACAGGATCACTCCACATCCAGCAAGGTCATCAGAGCAGTACAATTCAACGCCATATGTGGATTTGATTGTCAGCATTGCGTATCCTCTGTACACGGCTATGTTTTCTTTGCGAGTTGGCAATTCAGTTGGAGCTGAAACAACAGACATTCATTTTCATCTTTTGTAATTTCATATTTTGCTTAGCATTTGGATCATGTGGTACAATTTTTGTACGGTACGAAGCTTAAAAAGAAAAAGGGAGCTTCGGTGCGAATGGTAAAAACGTCCTGACCCTTACACAATTATTACATCACGGTGTTACGTTTTTGTAACGAGGAACCAGTATGTATATTTATAGTAAGCATATAGTTTATTTTCATGAGGTATACAAAAGGAACTTATAGTAAGTAATATAGCTAACTTATATTTATTCAAAGTATATTATAATTCATCAATGAATCAATTTAAAATATCAACAATCTATGAAAAGCTATCTCAGAATTAAAATCTAATAAAAATGCAAGTGAAGATCTCTCAAAAAAATATTTTAAATGATTGTTTCAATGTAATTGGAGAGAAATTATTATTATTGACGAATCATTGTTTAGTACACGGTGAATTCCGGTCGAAATTAAAGTGTTCCACCATTACTTCTGTGCCAAAAGTTCAACATTCTCAGCATATACAAATATTGGCATTGGTCGAGAAGGGATAATATACGAACAAATACTTGAATTCATTGAAGAAAACAACATTTTGACAAAAAGTCAAGCTGGATTTATAAAAAAATATTCTACACACCAAGCCAAATAGTGGTAGAAGACTGGAGAAGAAGCATCGGTGAGAAAGAATGTAGGTATTGCAACAGTATTTTAAGACTTCAAAAGGGCATTTGAAACCATAGATAGGAAAAAATTGTTAACGAAATTACATCACTATGGTTTTTAAGGATCAGTGTTCAACATTTTACAAAATTATTTAGTAAATAGAAGTCAAAAACTGAAGTTGCAAATATTATGTCAAGCGTTCAAAATGTATGATTAGGGGTGCTCTAGGGTAGTAAATTAGGGCCGTTATTGTTTATTATTTATATAAATGATATCTCTGACCTTTTAGAACACTGCAAATTCAAATATTTGCAGACATACATTTGGTCATTATTTTAGAACTGTTAGTGATATAAAAAAAATGAATTGGTTCAATATTAATAAACTTAAATTAGACACTAATAAAACAAAACGTATGTCAAATAGGGAAACATTTAGGTGACAATACAATTAGGCTCGTGATTAATGATGAAAAAATTGAAGTAGTCGAGTCATTGAATTATCTAAGAAAAAAGTAAACAGTTTAAAATCAAATAACAACTGTGCCGAAATCACTACTAAAAACGTGCTGACAAATTGTTTCGAAATTTTGGGATATCCTGTATTAAATTGGATCAATTGTTCACTGAGAAGCAGTTCTTTTCCTGAAAATTTGAAATGCTCTACAATAACACCAGTTCCCAAAATAAAAAATTCTAAAAGATGCAGCGATATGAGACCAGTAAATGTGTTACCAGACATTGAAAAATTATTAGAGTCCATAGTGCATGACCAATTAATGCAGTTTATAGAAGAAAACAAAATTTTAGTGGAGGCGCAAGCAGGCTTTCGAAAAAAATATTCCACAGAAACAGCTTTCCAGTTGGTAACTGAGAATTGGAGAAGAGCCATAGACTCAGAAGAAGTTGTCATAGCAGTATTTTTGGATTTGAAGAGGGCATTTGAAACGATTGATAGAGATATACTGTTAAGTAAATTGAAGGCATATGGTATAACAGGAAGTGTTTTAGATTGGTTTAGAAATTATTTGAAGCTTGTCTCAAAATGGTTAGCATCTAACAGACTAAAATTAAATGCAAGTAAAACGAAAGCCTTGTTAATCCGAAAAAAGCAATGTACAAATGTTCAACTGAATATTGATGGTGAAGATATTGAATTCGTAGAAAATTTTAAATACCTGGGGGTTTTTGTTGACTCTCGATTAATTTTTGATATTCATGATGAAAAAGTTATAAATAAGTTCATATAGCAGAAAAATTATCTATAATACCATCATTCTTCCAAATTTCTTGTACTGTTCGACTATTCTATATTTAGCAAATAATTCCATTTTTGAAAGACTGCAAATTTTACAAAATAAGTGCATGAGAATAATACTAAATAAAGATAAATATACTCCAATTAGGCAAATGCTTAGCAAATTAAAATGGCTCAATGTAAAGAATTTTATCAAATATATTGTAATGATATTCATTTATAAAGTAAGAAATAATATATTTCCATCAAGTCTAACTAATTTAACATCATCAAATGTCGACCATCATTTACATAATGCCATAAATAAAGATGACTTCCATTTAATGACCAAAAAGTATAACATATGCTACAAATCTGTATTCCATCAAGGGTTGATTGAATATAATAAATTATACTCGGAGATAAAAGACCAGAAAACTTTGACAAAATTTAAAGTAAAATTGAGAAATCACTTGTTAAATCTGCAATTATAGGTTGCCCAGCATTTACATCATACACCATATGGCTTGAATTTACTAGTTCTAAGTTGTTTACAATTATTCTGTTTATGTAGCCAAATGTGCTAAATAAATCTTTCTATTACTACTACTACTACTACTATTTAAATATCTTGGTATATATGTGGATAGTAAACTATTGTTTCTCGAGCATTATGAATACATTATTTCAAAGATATCAAAAGAGATAAATTACTTCTATAGAGTTTCCCATAATCTTAGTATGTATTCCAAACAAATTGTGTATAACGCTATAATTCTTCCCCATTTTTTAATTGTTCAACCGTCTTGTTGACAGCAAATGAAAACATCTTTTCAAAATTACAAATTCTACATAATATAGCTATGAGACTCATTTCTGATAAAAAAATATGCCAGGATCAAGTGTATGTTAGGAGATCTATAGTGGTTGAATGTAAAAAATTTCATATATTATTTAGTTCTCATTTTCATATTCACATTAAAAAATCATTTATTATCGCCACATTTCCAGAACTTCACAAAACTAAATTGTCTTTATCATAAATAGGAAACTAGATCCAGTATAGATTTTCATCTGCAAAATTGTAATCGTAGCATAGCTAGCAAATCTGTATTTCAAAAGGGAGGATTTAAAAATGTTTAAGGTGGAATTAAATGAATACTCAAAACGCATAGTGATTTATTTTTTATAGACAAGAATGGTAAATTATGGAAAATGGATTCAAAAAAATGTGCAAACCTCTAATTATACAAAACTGGCATTGTAGTATTAATGGAAAAAAAATTTCGACAAACAAACAAAAAAAATCGTCATACATAGTATCCGGCCAAACTTCAAGCGATTAATACCTTGGGCGATTGTAAGAAGAAAAGTTTATATAGACATGAGTCGGGTAAGATGGGGTTGTCCAAAACCGACGCAGAAAAGTAAACGCATATTAAAACAAGAAAGATTGATATTCAAATCAAGTTGGGTACTTTATTTTGAAGGTTCATTTATACCATTTATGTATGAAAAATAATATCGCTCAAATGTTCACCACGACTGGATTTACAGACGTCCACGCGATGGTCGAAATTTTCAGTGACATTTTGCAACATGGTCGGTTCTATGGCATTTATCTCGGCAATGATGTTGTTTTTGAGTTCTTAGAGGGTGGCTGGTTTGTTGACGTAGACTTTGCTTTTCAAATATCCCCATAAAAAGAAGGACTGCAATCGATGGATATTGACGTTGGTTGTGTGGCATGTTGCACCGTCTTGTTGGAAATAAACATCGTCCATATCCATTCCTTCAAGTTGCGGCAAAAAATAGTCCTCTATCATTACGTGATATCGCTCAGAATTGACGGTAACGGCGTCCCCGGCCGCATTTTCGAAAAGGTAAGGTCCGATGATGCCTTTTGATCACAATGCACACCACACAGTCACTTTCTGAGGATGCATCGGCTGCTCTTGATACTCACGGGGATTTTTGTTCGCCCAGATGCGGCAGTTTTGCTTGTTTACCGTCCCATTCAAAGTAAAATGCGCTCCGCGCTGAACATGATTTTTGATGAAAAATTGGCATTAATTTGGCGGTGTTCAAGGAACCAATCTGAGAACGTTCGGCACGAAAAATGTTCGGCCCGACGCAGCTCTTGCGTCAATTGGATCTTGTAGGCGTGTACATTCAAATCCTTGTGGAGAATGCGGAGCAAACTGGTTCTCGAAATGCCCAATTCTTGGGATCGACGCGTTGTTGATTGTTTCGGATCGTCTCTTACACTCTCCTTCACAACAGCAATATTTTCCGGTGTGCGAACGCTCCTTGGCCGGCCAGAGCCTGGCAGATTTGCCACAGAACCTGTTGCCTCGAATTTACGCACCAGACGACCGATGGTTGTTTCGTTTGGGCGGTTGTTGCGACCGAAATGTTCACGAAGCGCGCCTAACGTGTTTTTTATTTTTGCACCATTTTTGTAGTGCTCTTGAATAACTTTAATGCGGTCTTCAATCTAATACGACTCCATAGCGATCAATAGTAAACATTCAACTAACAAAATGACATGTCGGTGACAGAAAACAAAGATGGCGATTATGTCAAATTGACGTTTACTTTCCTGCGTCCCTATTAAACAACCCGTTATAATGCTTAATCTTCAAAATACAATGTATCAAATTTTTCCTTTTCCTTTGTAATCTGTTGGAAAACGATCCATCAAATCAAATCCATAAATTGTCGTTGGCATCTAGATCGCATGACTTGAATCTGTTGGTTTTTCTTTTTTTATTTGTCAATTTTGTTTTTCTTCGCCATAATGTTTATAACCGGCGACATCACTATACCTCCTAAATTTTAATAAACACGGCTAAAGAATATTACATCGAAACATGTATGTGAATGATATATTTTGGAAAAGGTGTTTCCAGATATCCAATAACGACTTTCTTATAATATTTACAATTCCCAGGCATAAGGATTGTAATAAATGAAAAAGCAAATTTATTGACAGATAAATATTATAGTCGCCTTTTCATATATCCGACATGATACTATATTGGAAACGTTATCAACCATTTTCACCGAAAGGAATTTTCAAAATTCAC